GAGCTCTTTGAGAAAAAGGCGTGTGTGGATGAGGAAAGGGAAGATCTTTCGCAAGAAGAGGAAAAAGCACAGGTGCCCTGGTGGCCACTCTGCCCATAGCAATCACAGCTTACATGCAAGAGAACATTCATTCAGTGTGGACAATCTCTGTTGAAAAACGGTGGCTTCTTGCACAAGAACATCTTGAGCAAGGGTTCTTGTGCAAGAAGTCTTGTGCAAGAAAACGTCCACACGGCCACGTGCGAGCTGTGCTTTTGCGCAAGAGCTCCCATGGCCGTGTGAACGCTCTCTTGCGCAAGAAAGCTCCGATGGCCATTTTAGCCAGAGGGGTTTCTTGCGCAAGAAATCCCTGCCGAGCGTCCACACTGCCCTCTTGCACAAGAGCTCCTGCGCAAGAGGGCTTACGCCTGATAAAAAAGAGCGTAACTCTTGCGCAAGGAGCCCTCTCTTACCACGCCGGACTGTAAATTTCCTTGCACAAGAGCGGGCGGGCAGTGTGGTTGCTCTGCAGATTCTTGTGCAAGAACAGCTGTACTTGCACAAGAAGCCGCGAGTGTAGACCTAGCCGTAGTGTGGTTACTGAGCAATGCAAGTGGTACCTAGACCACAGAAGCAGCTAACACCGAGAAACCTCTACAGCATGGGCTGGGAGCCAGCTGGCTTTTAGCTCTGAGGATAGAGGCTCTTATACTCCCCTTCAGAGGTCCCAGGTTCAAATCCGCCTGGTGGCAGTTACACCTGTATTCTAGACATAGCCTGTGAGAACCACATGCTCCCTCTGCAGCCAATCACAGCACTGCTACCTTCCCCCCGCAAATTCTAGGGGCGCAAGTCCCCCCCGCAAATTCTAGGGGTGCAAGCGTAATTGCCCAAACTGCCCTGGCCCGGGAAGCTGTCTTGGTGAGGATTATTCCACATCCCACTCGCTAGCCTAGAAAAACGTAAAAAACAACGAATAGTCGAGCAGCACCTTAAAGACTCACAAATCATGTGGATGGGATGATGAGCTTTCGTGGGTACAACCCACTTCGTGAAGTTGCCCAGTGCTGCTTTTAGCTCATGAAGCAGAGGCACCTCCCTGTGGTTTCCGAGGTCCTAAGTTTCAGTTTCATCTGCTGATGGTCAGGGTGTGTCAGGCGCTGTTCTTGGAAGGGCGTTCAGATGATTCAATGGATTAGATCTTTCTCTTTCGGCTTTCAACTCAGGTTAGTCAAGTTTCCTGGTGTTGCACCCAGAAACCCAGCATGGGCCTGGCTAAGAACAGCTGGGGGCGGGGGATACACTGGGCAGCTTGGTCATGCAAACACAGGTTTCTGCAGACGTACGCTCCCATGTGGCTTCATCGGCTGGGCCCGCTGAAATGCTTCCGTCTGGAATATTTTGATGTGGGTTAAGCATTTACCGATCCACCACCGAAGTGTTTCAAAGAAACTGTTAATGTCTAACAATGGCCAGACTGAGTCAGACCAAAGATCCATCTAGCCCAGTGTCCTGTGTGCCAGTAATGACCAACGCTAGCTACCCCCAGAACAGGGGATCATCAAGGGGTCGCCCAATTCCAGCCTCTGGCAAACAGAGGCTTGGGACACCATTCTTATCCAGCCTAGCTAATAGCCATTGATGGATCTAACTCTGGAAAAGTCCTGCCCTTTATAATATCCTGTGGCAAGGAGTTCCGCAGGTTGACTGTGCATTGCATGAAGAAATACTTCCTTTTGTTTTAAACCAGCTACCTAATGATTTTATTTGGTGATCCTAGTTCTTGTTTTAGGGGTGCACATCAATAACTTTTCCTTATTCACTGTCTCCACACCAGTCATGATTTTCTAGACCTCTATCCTATCCCCCCTTAGTCTCCTCTTTTCTGAGATGAAAAAGCTCAGTCTTCTTAATCTCTCTTAATTCGTCTGCCCCAAACAGTTTTCACTGAAGGGTCATTTATTCAAACAGTTTGACAGCACTCTCCATCCACAGGTCTTTGCACCCCTTACAAACAGCCAGAAATAACCTTAACCCCCCAGGCTGTGAAGTTTGCATCATCTCTACCTTACCACAAACAGGGAAACTGAGGTCATGGAGAGGTGAGGAGTAACGCTTGTAAAGCTTCCTCACCTTCAAAAGAATCCTGGTAGTCCTGCCCTTTACAATATCCTTTGGCAAGGAGTTCCGCAGGTGGACTGTGCATTGCATGAAGGACTTTGGACTTGGAGGACTTTGGAGCCTGATTTCCATTGACTTCCTCCCCCCAGCCCCGATGAAACGTAGGCTCCTTCGTATCGAAGTGAAGTTATTTTTTTAATGGGGTTTAAATTCTTAAATCACTTGGGACCCCGATGAAACGTAGGCTCCTTCGTATCAAAGTGAAGTTATTTTTTTAATGGGGGTTTAAATTCCTAAATCACTTGGGGTCTTTCGAAGCCATCTAAGAGATTTGCCAAAGGTGACACGGAGTCTGTGGTGGAGACCAGCCTGGATTGGCTGACGCTTGGTCCTGTTTTGGCCAGTCTGACCAGGGCGGCTCCAGTCAGGCTCGCAGAGCGGGGAGGAGGAAGGGGGCAATTGAACAGGGGCCCGGCATTTCAAAGGGGCCCAGAGTTCCCAGCTGCCATTGCTATTACTGTCTGGCTCCCTAAGCCCCTTTTAAGTGCTGCCGGAGTGCCACTCCGTGTGTGCCTGAGGCTGAGGGGAGGAGAGAGGGCCCAATGCCACACGCTGAGTGACACTGAGGGCTGACTGCCACAGGCCCCGCCCCTTCTGCCTGAGGCTCCACCCCTTCCAGGGGCACGTACCTGGGCCCCCCCACACCTTGCTCCTGGCTTGCAGTGTCTGTCGGCCCCAATGGCCCCAGTATTGGGAGCTGGCTTATCTGCTTCCCAAGGGTCCTACGGGTGTCGGAGAAAGGCAGGAAAGTGCTTTTTTTTGCTGACGTTTTGGAGCCTTTGTGATTTTGGCCAGCTGGCACGAGCTTGAAAAACAGTCAGATGAGGCGCTTTAGGGAAGCTAAAAGGAAACAGGGCAGAAGGAGAAGCCTTGTGACTAACACACAGCACTCGGGGTCATGCGCTCGCCGTTACGCGTCCACGGGCCTGCTGCTGACTCACTGTGCCCCCGGGCAAGCCCTGGCTCTCGCTCGCCTCAGTTTCCCCAGCTGCAAAGCCGTGGCGATGATACCGCCGAGCGGGGGTGCAGATAACCTCCCCCCCTCCCTCGATGGCAGAGAGCCTCGGGCGCTGGAGGGGAAGGGTCTGTGTCAAGGCCAAGGCAGTGACACTGTGGGATTTGCCAGATTTCCCGCGGCCTTCCATGAAGCCGGCTTCTTGCATTCGATGCGGAAACACAGACTGAGGTGGGAGGAGCAGCAGGTTAGGGGCCAGCGCCCCGACTGGAATCAGACCTGGGCTGGTGGACCTGAGCGCCTGAGTGTGACAGGCTGGGCCGGATCTTGGCACCCCTGAGGGCGTCCGTTCAGGGCGAATTGCTCAAAAACAAGGCTCCTTACAACCCCAGACTGGAGTCCCTTCCCAAAGAGGCCACAAACCAGTCATGCCAAATGCTTCAGCTGCCAATCTGGCCAGCAAGAAGCCTCATGAGCAAAACCCCTATGGCCCCCCAGCTCTCCCTGGGCCACTATCAACTCCAGGCCTAACACACAGGTGAGGGGTTATAGAACCCAATGTCACCTACCCCGAATGGGTCTTTCCGGTCCCAAAGAACCAGCCACAAATCCCCGGTCAATTTACACTTTGGATCCTACCCACAAGATCACGCTGGGCCGATCCTTTAGAATCTAAAATTGAAAGGTTTATTAATAGAAGAAAGAAAAGATGGAGAGTAACGTTGTTAAGGATAATACAGGACATGCATCGTATCGCTCAGTTCTCAATACAGGCTCTCAGCAGAGATGTTACAAACCGCTATCTTAAAAGTCTCTGGGGCACATCCTATGTCAGGATGGGCCAATGGCTTTTCCTGGTGCGCTGTTCCTCGCAAGGCTGCATCTGGGAGCAGTAGCAGAACTGAAGACTAGATGGAGATTGTCACATGGCCTTATACACCTCTCCTGGCATCTTCCTGGTCAGAGCAGGTCACATAGCCCAGTGACCTATCCCTGTTTCACATGCTGGCAGTCATTAAGCCCTGGCTGCTTTGTAGGTCCCAGACACATTCCACATTCCTAGAGAGCCTTGATAATTAGCATAGTCTGGCTGAACATTCCTTGCCTATTGCTCTGTCTCGGACAGACAATCTTCCAGCATCAACACAGAGTCCGTATTTATAACTCCACATGCAGACATCATACAAATACATGAATCGCATGTACAGAATCAGTACAACACAAGCTTTTGTTTGACACCTCACATGCCCCCCTTTGTACATACTTAGGGGGAGCCCCTCTCCCCCTTTGGGTGCAGCAGTGACCTGGTTTCTCCCTTTAAAATCCAGTCTTGTGACACTGAGAGAAACTGATTCCCAGGGAAAAGGGGCCCAGGTGAAACCAGATGTGCTGGTGCCCGGCTCATGGAGCGTGACCTGATCTCCCACAACATACAAGCTGATGGGACCAAATCCAGCTGGTGCAGAGGAAGGCAGCTGCATGCAGCCCCTATGGGGCAGGAGAATATTTTGCTGACGTTAACCATCTGTAGGCCCCGCCCCCTGCAGCTCCCAGTGGCTGTGGTTCTCTGCTCCCATTGGCTGGTCTGCCGATGGGGGCGGGACGCAATGACTCCAGGGTTCTGGCAGTTCCGCAGCAGTGGCGGCAGCTGGAGCTCCAATTGTCGGAATGCCGTGTTCCGGGTGGTACTGAGGGCTGCCTTGGCCCCGCCCCCTTCCTCTCCAAGCTCCGCCCCTTCCGGAATAGTGAAGCTGGCCTGCCCCACACCTTGCCCAGGGACCCACAGTGGCTGTCAGCCCTGTTGCCCATTGGCCGGGAACTGGGAACAAAGAGCTGCAATGGGAGCTGCAGGGGGCGGGGCCTGCAGTTGGGTCAGATCAGCAAAATGTTTCGTGGCCTGCAATCAGCTCGATCCGCTGCCACCACCTCGGGTGACGTGAGGGACATGAACGGGGCTTGTTCTCTTTCAGGTGACCTGCCCAGCCCCAAACCCAGGGAAGCTGCCGGGCAGAAAAGCTGGCTGATCATTGGCATTGGAGTCATAACCGTTGCGCTGATTGTTGCTGTGGTCGCGATACTTTTCCTCGGTGAGTTCTCGGCCTTGGCTGGCCCCTGTCACATCCCCCTTGATTTTAAAATGACCCGGGCCAGACGGTCAGAGCCCTTTCGAAAATCCAGCAGCTTGTTTTGGTGTGTCAATGGAACCTGGACCCAAAAGCTTCCGAAACGTGAATGCACTAGGCCAGTACATAAATCCACCCCGAGCCAACAACTGAAACACTTTTAAACAGGCAACTCTGAGTTTGCAGCTGGTCCAGGACCCATTCATCAGCTCAGAAAAATGTTACCCACGATACCCAAGGCGGTATGTAGATCCACTTCCTCCCTTGAATTTAGAAACATCAAAGAGGCAAAGTCTCCTTTTAGTGTTACTCTGGGATATCCACTCCATCCATCCAACTAAGTGTTTTTTACCCAGGAAAGCCGATGCCCAAATAAATGTGTTCACTTTGAAGGGGTGCATTGACACGGTGGGTCTAAACTCGAAATAAGCACCGCAAGTTGAGCTACAGTAAGGCTGTGTCTACACTGGCCACTTATTCCGGAAAATCAGCCGCTTTTCTGGAATAACTTGCCAGCTGTCTACACTGGCCCCTTGAATTTCCGGAAAAGCACTGACGATCTAATGTAAAATCGTCAGTGTTTTTCCAGAAAAACTATGCTGCTCCCATTCGGACAAAAGTCCTTTTCCAGAAAACTGTTCCGGAAAAGGGCCAGTGTAGACAGCCCAGATTTCTTTTCCGCAAAAAAGCCCCGATTGCGAAAATGGCGATCAGGGTTTTTTTTGCGGAAAAGCGCGTCTACATTGGCACGGACGCTTTTCTGCAAAAAGTGCTTTTCCGGAAAAGCATCCTGCCAATGTAGACGCTCTTTTTCCGAAAATGCTTATAACGGAAAAGTTTATAAAGTTTATAAAATGCTTATAACGGAAAAGCATCCTGCCAGTGTAGACGTAGCCTAAGGGTATATCTACACAGGAAAGTTATTTCGGGATCCCAAAATAGCTACCCCACATCTCATGAACGAATCTGCTATTTTGAAGTGTAGCGGATGTGCTATTTCGCCATCCCTGTAAACCTCATTCCATGAGGAGTAAGGGGTAGCTCGAAACAGCGTGGTATTTCAAAATGTGGTGCTATGTAGACAGCGCCAAATGAAGTAAGCTATTTCAAAATAGACTAGAATAAGCGACACAATTTGTGTCATGCAAATTACATCCCTTTTTTCAAATTTTGGGTGCTGTGTAGATGCGCCCTATGGCTATGTCTAAACGGCAAACATTTTTTGAAAGAGGATATGCAAAGTCCCACAGAATTTGCCTATCTTCTTCACATTTTCGAGAGAGGCTCTTTCAAAAGTGAAAGTCTTCTGGGCACTTTTTTTTTTCGGAAAAAAACCCTTTTTTGAAAAAAAAATGCTCTTCTGAAAAGGAGGTTTACACTGTTTTTTGAAAAGAGATTTTTTGTTTCCGAAAAAGTGTCTAGACTACTTTCACTTTTCTAAGAGACTCTTTTGAAAATGCAATCGGAAGATATGCAAATACCCACAGAATTTGCATATCCTCTTTCGAAATCAAAACGTAGTCTAGACATGCCCTCAGTGTGTAGCTTAATTTGAAATAGCTTATTTCGAATTTGGACGCGTCTACACAGCAGGTATTTCGAAATAGAGCCCTCTTCCCCCGACTTCCCTTAATCCTCGTGAAATGAGTGTAATGAGGTCAGAGTTAGAAGTCCTCTGGCTGGTAATTATTTCGACGTTATGTCGAGTTAACTGCTTTTGTGTGGACGCGGGCGCCGTGATTTCGGAATAACGTTAGTTATTCCGAAATCACGCTTATGTGTAGGCGTAGCCTGAGGTGACACAAGACTCCTCATTTGCTTATCACTGTTACTCTCTTCACTTCAGTGAGATGGCCTCCAGAATCCAACCTGCCTCATGTCTCCACATCAGCCCCGCAAATTGCAAAATGCCCTGGGGCCTGCTGCCCGGATGGCTGGGTCGGGTACCGAGGAAAATGCTACTATTTCTCGGACGCTGAAGGGACCTGGAACTCCAGCCAGAGTTTCTGCTCCTCGTTCAATGCCTCCCTGGCTGGGATTGACACGGAAAAAGACCTGGTAAGGGAAACCCCCAAACTAAGACCAGTAGAGGGGCCAAGCGGCATGTTGTTGTGTTCCTCCCTCAGGGGTTCCTTCTAGAGCTCGTATGAGGGAAGAGCAGAGGGTACAAAAGCTCTGGCAGCCATGTCCAAATCTCAGACAGATAGGCTACGTCTACACGGGCATGACTTTCCGAAAATGCTTTTTTGCGGAAAAGCGTCCGTGGCCAATCTAGACACGGTTTTCCGCAAAAAAGCCCCGATCGCCATTTTCGCAATCGGGGCTTTTTTGCAGAAAACACTACTGTGCTGTCTACACTGGCCCTTTTGCGCAAAAGTCTTTCGGAAAAAGACTTTTGCCTGAACGGGAGCAGCGTAGTATTTCTGCAAGAACACTGACGATCTTACATGAGATCGTCAGTGTTCTTGCAGAAATTCAAGCGGCCAGTGTAGACAGCTGGCAAGTTTTTCTGGAAAAACTTGCCGATCTAGACACAGCCGTACAGATTATTCATCTTTAAAACAAATCTCTGTTGGAGAACAGCCTTGCGTGGGTCCCTTGCAGGTATAAACCAGTGTAAGCCTTGGCTTCTGTGTCACTTGAACTCTTTCAATTGTCATTTGAGGACTTCTGAGGTTCAAAGTCTGTCCTAGGAGTGGGTGGGTGAGCTTCTATGGCCTGTGGTCTAGTGTAGTGTTTCTCAACCTCTTTTTGCTCATGGCCCCCTTCTGAGCTTCCTTTACCTCTGTGGCCCACCTCATAGCCGCTGTTGGTTGGAAAAAAAGCTACATAATTCACCGTTTTTTCCATGTGGCCCTTAGAGGTAGGGCATGACCCCTGGGGAGCCATAGGGCCCATGGTTGAGAACCACTGGTCTAGTGGAACTCAAGACTAGATGATCCATTTCTGATGTTCCCTTCTGGCCTTAAAATGTATGAGTCTTATAGACAAGTGATATTCACCCCATTCCCCCTCCCCCCCGATACCTTTCACTATGTCCAGTAGCAGCGAGTAAGCATGTTGGCTGGATGATGCTATTAAAACAGTTTGCAACAAGACAGATAACATTAGTCTTGGTATGTCTACACTGAAGAGTTTTTCTGGAAAAACAATACTACGTCCACACCGTTTTTGCGTTCTTTCGACAAAGTCGAAAGAATGGAGGGGAGATGTGCCACGAAGAACAACAGAGTTCAAAATGATCGCCCTTAAAGGGGCGGACGACCTTTTTTTTTTTTTTTTTCTCAACAAATTCCCCCCCCGCCATTTTTTTTTTTTTTTTTTTTTTTCAAAAAAAAAAAAAAAAAGGCCTCCTTGAAAAAGCACAGGTGCCCTGGTGGTCACTCGGTCGCACTGAAATGCGAGCTAGCATCCACATTGGTTGGACACTATCTTTTGAGAAAGCACATCATTTTTTCGTTGCACTTTTGCTGTGTAGACGCTCTCTTTCGAAAGTTTTTCCAGAAGATCTCTTCCGGAAGAGCGACATAGTCTCAGAAGGTTAGCTATCAATGGCACACTTCAGTGCCATTTGTGTTAACTCTGAAACCTAGTGATGTTTGAAGCTATCTGCAGATTCAGGGGCCATCTGTGCTAGGAAATGGATTCATTTTGGGTAACAAGCCTCCCTGGAGCTGAAAATAGCTTAACCGCTTCATCAGGGACCATCTGTGCTAGGAAATGGATTCATTTGGGTAACAAGCCTCTCTGGTGCTGAAAATAGCTTAACCGCTTCACGAACATGACAGATGATAATGAATGATGTGCATTTTTTTAAAGACGTTCATCATGCGCTATAAAGGCATCTCTGAGCACTGGATTGGCCTGAAGCGTGTATCAGATCAGTCCTGGCAGTGGGTGAACAGCAAACAGTTCAACAACCTGTGAGTCTTTTCCTAGCTAGTCACTTTGCTGGGGTCCAAACAGACAAAGGGATGCATTTGGGCACATTTGTAAAAAAAAATTCCCCCCTATTTTTCCAGGGTTCCCTAATTGGTAGAGGCCCATTGGTCCAGTGCCTGATCCTCCACTGCTTAGGTCCTAAGTCACTTAAGTCTTGCACAACTGAGCAGAGGAGCAACCCCTAAATACCTTTCAAAATCTGGACTTTAGCCCTTCCTCCTCTTCCCTAGAGAAAAAGAAGTAGGACAAGAGACTCTGGTGCCCATGCAGAGTCCATACCAATGGCTGCTGGTGTAGATTCAGTCAGGCTAATCCCGGAAGTCACAGCCGTGCTACAGAAATAACGGTGTTTGTGCCCCACGTTTATGTTCAAAGGCATCTTGCATTGCTGGTGCAGCCAAAAGACAGTTCCTTGAGTCTCCCGGAGATCAACATTTTCAGCTCTTTATCTCCCCCTCTCGCGCTTCTTGCCAGGGAAGGTTTGAATGGAATAACTGGATAATTGGTGCAGAAGGCGGGCAATTTTGTGGGGCTATTCTGGCAAGGCACAGGCTCTGATCTCCTGGGCGTCTTTTGTCGCAGGTTTCCGGTGAGAGGAAAAGGCGACTGCGTGTACCTGAGCGACAGCTTTGCCACTTCATCCTGGTGCCACACACAGCGCTACTGGATCTGCAGCAAACCTGACGGGATGCCAAGAGAGGATGTGATGCCGGGGGGTTGACAGGAGAAGGCTGCGCATGCGCCGAACTACGCTCAAGAAGATCCTCCAATAGAGCTTAACAGTTTTTTTTTTTAACAGTGTATTTTTCTCGTTTAATTTGCTCTGTGATGTGGCCCTTGCAAAGCCCTCTCCTTCCTGGTTTACACGTCAAATTTAAAACTCGCTCCCGAATGCGGTAGGCTGACATCACCCCAGTGTAATGCAGTTAAATTGATCTAACTGTTGTCTCTTAGGAAGAGGAAATTCTTAGGGTGACAGGAATTGCCTTTCTCCGACTGTAAGATGCGTCTATGCTCCCAAGCATTAGACTAGCCACCTGAGCCTTTCCTCGAGATTCCAGCCTCATTGCTCCAGTACAATCTAGATCAGTGTTTCTCAACTTTTATTTATAAAGTTTTTTTTTTTAAAAATTATAAGTACTCCAGTACCTACAGTTTTCAGACCCGCAACATTTTGCTATCATTGCAACTCATTTGTTTAAACAACTTAATCATAGCGGGTATAAAACGTACACGTTTTGCTATCATCGCAACTCATTTGTTTAAACAACTTAATCATAGCAGGTATAAAACGTATAAAAATACTAAAACGCTATAAAACTTAAACCAAACATTCAGTTTTCTCCAAATTTCAGGTGAGCTGACGTACCCCCAGGCTTCTCTCGAGTGCCCCTAAGGGTACTCGCACCACTGGTTGAGAAACACTGGTCAAGATTAAAGCTAGTTGGGGTCAGACTGTGTAAACTGCAGCCAAACCATGTGATTGCAGTGTGGAAATACCCTCAGCTTAGCTGTGCCGGTGGACCAGGGAGGCAGTGCCGTGTGAAGATGGGTTGAGACAATAGAAGGCCGGGCCCAGCGGGTAGTGATCAACAACTCGGTGTCACGATGTCGGTCGGTTTCTAGCGGAGTGCTCCATGGTTCTAGGACCGGTTTTGTTCAATATCTTTATGAATGACCTGGATGAGGGGATGGATTGCACCCTCAGGAAGTTTGCAGATGACACTAAGCTAGGGGGAGAGGTAGATACGCTGGAGGGCAGAGAGAGGGTCCAGAGTGACTTAGACAAATTGGAGGATTGGGCCACAAGAAATCTGATGAGGTTCAACAAGGACAAGTGTAGAGTCCTGCCCTTGGGACGGAAGAATCCCAAGCATTGTTGCAGGCTGGGGACCAACCAGTTAAGTAGTAGTTCTGCAGAAAAGGACCTGGGGGTTACAGTGGACGAGAAGCTGGATATGAGTCAACAGGGCGCCCTTGTAGCCAAGAAGGCGAATGGCATATTAGGTTGCATTAAGAGGCGCATTGCCAGCAGATCCAGAGATGTCATTATTCCCCTTTATTTGGCTCTGGTGAGTATTGTGTCCAGTTCTGGGCCCCCCACTACAACAAGGATGTGGACACATTGGAGAGGGTCCAGTGGAGGGAAACCAAAATGATTAGGGGGCTGGAGCATATGACATATGAGGAGAGGCTGAGCGAGTTGGGTCTATTTAGTCTGCAGAAGCGAAGAGTGAGGGGGGATTTGAGAGCAGCCTTCAACTTCCTGAAGGGACGTTCCAAAGAGGCTGGCGAAAGGCTGTTCTCAGTAGTGACAGGTGGCAGAACAAGGAGCAATGGGCTCAAGTTGTGGGGGGAGAAGTCCAGGTTGGATATTAGGAAAAACTATTTCTCTAGGAGGGTGGGGAAGCACTGGGATGGGTTCCCTAGGGAAGTAGTGGAGTCTCCATCCCTAGAGGTGTTTGTCTCGGCTTGACAAAGCCCTGGCTGGGTTGGTTTAGTTGGGATTGGTCCTGCCTAGAGCAGGAGGCTGGACTTGATGACTCCTGAGATCTCTTCCAGCTCTATGGTTCTATGATTCTATGAATCTTAAGCAGCCCCAGGCTAAGAAAATCCACAGCCGGCAGAGATGTGAGACAGCCGCCCGCAAGGGCCTCCTAGACACAAGCAGCCAGGAAGTGGGTTTTCTTTGACTGTCTCCGAACCAGGCTCCATTAGCTCTCGCTGTCTCCTGACAGCGCTCAACAAAGTGGGGAGTTAAGGTTACATGGGACGGGGATCAGAGGCTTATGGAGAGCTCCTTCCTGCTTCCTTACATTGGCTCCCAGATCAAAATGTGGTTGCTTAACATGGGACCGAGAGTGTCCGTGCTGGATCCAAGAGGAAAACGAAGGAGGGCAGATAGGAGAGGCAGGCTGAACTGGAAATCGAATAGTCTGGATGTTCCTGTGAAAAGGCTTTGGAGGTACCCGGGACAGATGCTGGCCCTTATGTGGTTTTTAGGTGGACTCTGTGTGAGCAAGAAGGAATTGTGGGTCGGTGTCACCATTATATTCCACCCACAAGAATTTGCAGAACAGACACATAGCCAGAGTGGGTGCCTTTTATTTTAACTGCAGCATCTTTGAAGACAAGTTCTGGGCCGTGAAGCCGAGGTAGATGAAAGCCTTTTGATGGCACTTGGTCAAGTTTTTAGTAAGCGAGCAAATGAAACTGAGATAAGGAGGAAGATCAATGTGTGCGCAAGATACTAAGAAGCGTTCGATGCTTTTAAGGTTCATTTGCAAATGTCAGCTAAAAGTTTAATTCCCCTCGGACTCCAAGTTACAAGTACTTCTGCATATTTTCCCCTTGTTTTGGCTGGGTATTTTCTAGCTGCATCAGCTGTTCAGACCATGGGGGCTGAATCTAAATAATTGCACTGGAAAACAATCTCACAACCAGTGAAAAATTAATTGTGTGAATGTTCCCTGTTGAGCTATTTAATGACTTTCTGTTCATTCCCTTTGTTTTTATGAAGTTTGCTATTACTTCGTCAGTACTATAAGCTAACATAGGAAAAAAGCACTTTATTTGCTCCTTCTGTTGTAATTTAGGCATGGTCATAGAGTTGAAGGTTAGGACTAATGAACGAATAAATAAATAAATAAATTGGAAGACAATATGCAAATGAGCAGCCATTTGCATATCCTCTTCTGCAGAAAAATGGCCATGTAGCCACAGCCTGAATGAGAGAGGCTGGTATGTGTTTGTAGGGGAAGTAGAAGTGTGGTTTTGTAAGTAACACTTTTGATTTTAAATAAATGTTAATTTAAACACCAAGTATTACTTTCAGAAACACTCTTAAATTGGTTTCCACATGGCAAAAGTTGGCAGGCACCCGGAAAGTATACAGAAGAACAAAATATGAAAAATGCAAAACATTTACAAAATTCTGAACACTTGGCTTTCCCCCAAAATAATTTTGGGAAAAAAAAACCCTTCAGAAAATTAAAATATGAAGTCACTGAAAATGATGTTTCTACGAAAACCATTGCCATTTCAGCAAAACAAACAGTGCGCATCCCTCGAGTCGGGTACAGCGCGCCTGCCCGGCGTGCCAGGGCTCACTGCCGGGACAGGGGCTGGGCTGAAGCAACCGGAGGAGCCAAAATGGTGCCTACCTCGGTATCTTTTGCCTTCTCTAGTCCAGTCGGCTTTCTTGTCCCTCTGCCTCAGGCCTGCTCCTCGCTCCTCTCTGAGACCCCGGGGCTTTTTATCGGCAAAACCTCTTCCGCAAAAAGAATCGGAAGATACGCAAAGCACAGTTTGCATATCCTCTTCCGCAACAAAACCAGCAGGATAGCCATAGCCTCACTGTCTCCAAAGTAGAAGAAATCAGGAACGAATCACAACTTGTAAGCAGGGAAAGAAATTTTGCCCTTACATTGTTCCATTGGCATGCTTAAAAATGTTTGAAAGGTTGTTTGGTTTTTTTCCGTGAAAACTTTTGCAGAGCAAAATGCTGCTTTTCCAGCTAGTTCCAGTCTATAATGTTGTTCTCTTTTATGGATTGGTTTATTTTTATTACAGCTTGAACTTCTCTAGTCTGGCGCCTTTGGGACCTGACCGGTGTTTGCCGAACCAAGGGAAGGTCAATATTATCTAGCAGCATTATCAACTCTTCCACTGCTTGCTGGGTTCTTGGAAGACATTTGAGGGTAAATAGGAACTAAATAACAGCACAGAACCCTGAGAGCCAGGAATGGTGGCTGTAAACAAACTTTATGGGACTGTGGGAAACTTGGCCACACCCATGGTAAGAGGACATCCGGCTATTCAAATAGTTGCCGGACCATGGAGGTTGCCGGACCAGAGAGTGCCAGACTAGAGAGGTTCAACCTGTATTTTCCCTGGTCTAGTGCCATCTGTTGGGCCAGAGGAGACAGTGCAATGTCTAGGTTTTCTGCAAAGTGTCTTAGGCTGTGTCTACACTGGCACCCTTTTCCGTAAAAAGGATGCTAATGAGACACTTCGGAATTGCAAATTCCGCGGGGGATATTTAAATATCCCCCGTGGCATTTGCATGAACATGGCTGCTGCTTTTTTCCGGCTCGAGGTTTTGCCGAAGAAAAGCACCAGTCTAGACGGGATCTTGCGGAAAATAAGCCCTTTTCCGGAGGATCCCTTATTCCTACTTTCATGCAAATGCCGCGGGGGGATATTTAAATCCCCTGCGGAATTTGCAATTCCCAAGTGTCTCATTAGCATCCCTTTTACGGAAAAGGGTGCCAGTGTAGACACAGCCTTAATGTTTTGCTGTGTAGAAGGAGAGACTAGGGCAGGGAGAAATATGAGGGAGAACCTATCTGGGTGGCTTTTCCAGCAATCCCACTACACCCACTACAAGCATTTAAACTCTGGGGGAAGTTAATCTTCTAATAAATGGCACAAACTTCGGCATAGGGTTTACTGTTGATTTCATGTGCCTAGCTCTCTGACTACTTGCACGATCATCTGTAGAAGCGGGCTGTGCCCACGAAAGCTCATGATCCCCTCTACATGTGGTGTTAGTCTATGTGTTGTTAGTCTATAAAGTGCTACCGGACCATTTGTTGTTGTTTTTTCTGTAACAGACCAACTCGGTGACCCCCTGAACCTCGTAATTAAAGTCAGTACATCAACACACCGAGGTCTGTGTTCATGATGATCTGTCCTCTCAGCCCTATTTTCCCATCTGCCCCTGGGA